TATAATATTTTGACATACATAATGAATTGCCTCACTGCAAGATCATTTTTTTTTTCAAAACAAGACATGATCCGCTTCGTATCTTTTGAATTACTTTAAGGTTATTTTCTTCATTTAGTACTAAAGATAGTCCTTACCATGTTGCTATGCTCTAGAAAATTACTTTTGAAGATATATTTCTAAAGTAATTGTAATATCGACACGCACGTTATTGTTTGGTTCTTTAAAGCTGTTTAAATATTGTGTACATGATTTTAATGACGTTGTGTGAATATACTTCATCAATACGTTTTAGTTTCACATCGCTGAAAATAGTGCAGATGATTGGTCTGTTGGCGTCAATGTTTTTTTTACAGTTTCAATAACCACAACTAGTTTCTTAACATGTACTTAACCGCAAGCTACATCATTTCCGATCCGTTTTACTGCTAGAGGGCAAGAGGATTGTTTTCCAATTTTTTTTCAACAGGTCCTGAAACAGTTTAGTATTCTTTGAATTAATTCAAGGCTGCTTCCTTCATTTAAGTATACATTTACGTAAGCTTTGTAACACAGTACGTCGACGCACTACATATACTTGCGGAAAATACTTTAAAGTTTGTTCAACTATTTTGTACACGATTTTGAATGACTTTATGAATACGTTTTAGATTTACTTCTCTACGAAGAACCGAAATGTTCTCAGTAGGTCAAACCTCGCTCTGTGACCATTCAACTATTTTATAACTATACTGTTTGTTTATTTTAAAAGCACATACATAGCATACGAATACTAATAAACGTATTATTATTCGATAGTTTTCATTTATCTGGTTTGGGGCCTGAATTTTGTGTAGGTGAATAAGTTGTGTGGAAGCGAATTATGGCGAGCTTGAATGAGGGGGAATTTTATACGTTTCTCGTAGAATGGCCTTCATAAAATTACTAAATTTTAGGGTTTAGAGTTGAATATTGAACCCAAACTTCAAAAATAGTAAGAAAGAAGTAAGTAATACTTAATATTTATGACACAATCACTTTTGCTCAAATTACATGTTATACTGTCTATTTGGCCCTTTTCCTCGAAACATGATGATGCGAGTTTACAGCCCTTTTGTGGTATTGGGTCATATATTTCAACAATGCTACCCAGCTAACAATATTACGTTCTAAGAACGTTATAATAATGTTACAGTTTGATGATAAAAACGTTTGTGGAACCATAGGTACAACGTCACAACGTTTTTACAACGTTGTGTGAACGTTATTTTGTGACATACCTAACCACAACGTTCGCGAACGTTATAAGAACGTTTTGTATTTGCTGGGTAAAATGTAACAGTTGATCCCTTCCACGGTTATCCTCTGAGAATTTATAAGTAGGAGTTTGAAACCAAACAGACTTCCTAAACTGTATGTTATCGTGCAACAATTTACTACAACAGTAAAAACGACAACATGAAAAAATGTTACAATTTTACCTAAATTTTTATTTTGTTTTGGGAATTGTGATAGTATTTAGCGTAGATTTCCTGATTAGTGAAATATTAATTATGCAAATGAACAATTAGCATATTCACGCACGTACCAAAAACAAATAGACTCCGTCTTCTTATTACCATCTTGTATTCTACCAAGGTTTAAACCAATCGGTCTTACCAAACTTTAGTTATCGTGGTAACAAACAAATGTCCAACGCCAGCGACAACGACGACGATGACAACATGAAGAACACAGGTAAAAACAATAGTTCACCCCCTCCTCCCCCTCCCACGGAGCCTCGCTCCTTTGGAATGCTAATAGTAGAAAAAGAAATTGGACACGATATTGCGATTTCTGTTAAAAGAGGAACTCTTTCCTCACCTTGTAAAATTTGGCATGGTATGGGCTTCAAAGAAAATTCATCTTACCCACAAAGGAACCATTATTCTGAATATTTTATAATAATATCAATACGTCAACTCTTCAACTGTGTTGACTTGAGAACAAAAATTGTTTGTTCACTTTCTCAGATCAAAATGTTTAAAAACGAAAATCTCTCTTCTCTGTATCACTCCTTTTTTACATTAATTACTGGAAGCCCAATATTCACTTATACTAAAGACAACCCTAAAATATTTTATTTTAATTATAATAGTGCCAATTCCGGATCTATTAGACGATTGGCCTTAAATATTTCTCGTCTCAACACAAGCCATGTTTGGGCTGAGGGGGTACACAATGGACTCTCATGCAATCTATCAAACATAGGTCATCGTTTTAAAAACGTATTAAACATATCTGGCCTTTAACTATAATTTTTAACATAAAAATAACGGTAAAAAGTAAAGATCGACGTTTCGACTCCTTCATGGTGTCATTTTCAAGATCAAATGATGAAGTAAAAAATATACAGCAACTATAATCAATATAAAAAGCTAATCTACAATGTCAAAGTTCATAACAGTGGGATATTAATCCCTGTGTTAGATAAAAAGCTTTGCTTTGTCAGAGCCACATTGTTTATTCAGACTGGGTTTTAATTGTCTAATAAATAGCATTTCATGAATGAGACAGTCAAATTTGTTCCAACATTTCTTTAAAATGCTGAAACATGACTCAATACTGCTTCGGCTGATATGATGGTCCTTAGCATGTTGTCCTAACAGAAATCTTTTATGTTCAGTTTTTACGTCGAACTTTATCTAGATATACCCGTCTTGAAACATGATACGATAATCCCCTAATTGCGTTCGATGCCAAGTTAGAGCCAGATAAACAGCCAGCCAGTTTCAGGCCGTCGACGTCACACGGTGGAAAGCTTGTTTCATAAAACATCTACTGTATTTTACGAACCTCTAGTACCAAGTGGTATTCGTTAAAAAAATTGTAAACTACTGTAGAGAAAGTGTGAGTTTCCACTACCTAACCTAGCCGACCAGTACGAACCAACGACAGTGCAGCAGCGTGTTCCATCGCAATCTAAGTAAGTACTGTAGTAGATTCTCTAGGCCCTAGCTAAATTTACTTTCGATAAAAAAGGAATTATTTTAATGACTAGCTAGCATTCTTCCATTTAACAAAATATTGTTTTAATTTTCATTAAAACGTCTGTTACTTTATGGACCTTTCTGTCCTGTTTTTTAGTGTTTAGATCGCTCAATTGTGTTGTTTACATGCACTTCGCGAAAATCTAGCTTCGCGGTGTCAAACAAGTTGCTGACTTCCACACACTTTTTTATTTCGTCATCGTAAACATGTGCGCTCATTTTAACGACTGGCGTTGGTGATAGTTCGTTGAAACTGAATTAATAGCGACTATTATAGCAGAAATGGAAAAGATTGAATTGTCAATAAATAAATAAATACAACAAATCTGATTTTATTATTAAGAAAAATATACATTATCACTTTGAAAAATGTACGGACTTTTTAACGTTATTACTTGGTCGATGATGCAAAGGGCAAAGGTCATTGGTAATATCGACTATTCGTAAAACGGACGTTTGCTTGGTTTTTACCCATAATATTACAAATAATTTCTGAAAACCAGACTAATGAGACTACTTCGATGCTGTTGTTAGCATTGTTGGAGTACGTTGTCGCCAGCCAGAAGATGATATGGTGGTACAATACAACAACGCTGGCTTAGATGCCTACGTTACGTAATCGTGTCCTTGTAATCCTAGCCGACTTTACCGTTAAGCAAGTTAATTTACCGTTATTCTAGTAAAGTTAAGTCACTTAACTTAAATCACTTAAGCCTTTTATCTAGCTATAATTGAGTGGGTCACGTCGAACTTTTAACTAGTTAAGTGGATGTATATCTAGATAAAAGTTCGACGTGAACCAGGCTAATGAGACAGTCAAATTTGTTCCTACATTTCTTTAAAATGCTGAAACATGACTCAATACTGCTTCGGCTGATATGATGGTCCTTAGCATGTAGTCCTAACAGAAATCTTTTATGTTCAGCAATACGTTGGTAGAGGTGTCGGTTTGTGTATCCGACATAACTTGCACCACACAAGTCACATTTAAATCTGTACACAACACACTGCTGATTTATGATTGTAGGTTTTCTTTCTGTTTTCTTAATTTCATTACTTATTTTTCTGCGTGTGAAAACAGGAAAAATGTTTTGGTCTATTTTGTTGCTTAGTTGGCGTAGTTGACGCTTAACTGAGTTGGCAGATTTCTGGTCTTTGAATGGTAAAATAATTCGGATGGGCATTTCCTTCTCATCGGCTTCACTATTACTGAATTTATTATCAGTCTCTAGAGTTGACTTAAACATTTGAATTGTGGATGTGATGAGGTCATCTGTGTATTCAAGGCGTTTGAAAATCCTTCTTAGGTTATCACATTCCTCGTTGAATAAGTGGCTGGATGATGGTAGTTTGTAGGCCCGATTCAACATGGTAATTAAAAGTGTCTTCTTGTGCTTATTGTCTACATGGCTTCTATAGTGTAGAAGTAATCCTGTGTCTGATGGCTTTCTATAAATGATAATAGAATACTTAGTAATTAGCATTCCTAGGAAAGGAATAGAATTGTTCACAGCAGTTTCCATAGCGAAGTTTATGGCAGGATGAATGTTGTTGAGCAAGTCAAGAAATTGCATGGCAGATTCTGTGTTAGGCATAAATACTAGAGTATCATCAACGTATCGCTTGTAATATTTCGGCATTTGATTGCTAGATTCAAGGCGTTCCTCTATATTGCACATGAATGCATTATAATTTAATACTGTAATTCATTCATTTTTCTCAAACATGTATATTTACAATAACAGTTAAAAAAAAGAAAGATCAAGAAATTATTTTCCATTTTCATATCACTTTAATTTGTATCTTTTCTAATTAGTGAGTAAATAATAATATATTAAAGCCGACTACAGTAGCAAGTTATTCGATTGATAACTGTAAAAATGTGTTAAAAAACAATACATAGATATGTGAGAAATTTTCTTTTAAACAAACCAGATGAATACTTTCAAATAATTTGTGATGCTCCATTTCTATGTTTAAATTTTGTTTATATTACATTTCATAGGCCTACAATACATTAATTACTGTAAATATCTGCAAATACAAAGAGTATACAGTATATATATAATATAAGAACATGAAAACATATCAGTTCGTTCTGGTAATATTTATGAAACACATTTGTTTGATATGAATTTCTAAGATTGGTATTGTATATTTACATAATAACTTAATGTGCCAATTTGGTCTACAAAGCAGTGCACTGTTATGCTAAAAGTCATATTTTATAACAGGCCCATATATTTGTTAACGCATTCAATTAATATAAATTTCTAAGATTGGTACCATATAACTAGGCCTACTTACATAAGTACCCAATATAATTTTCAATTTGTTCTAAAAAAAAAAAACACTTGTTTTCTTATCCATGCTAAAGTTACGCCAAGCCTTCTACAGGAGCGTACCCGCTTGATTTTCAAAATGTTGTCACAGACAGGCATATTTTAAAAACCCGTTTCAATCATTAACACAAGTTGGGCCTGATAATTGCGGCATGGGCCGATTGTCGTGGAGTATCTTGGGCAAGAAATAATATAAATTAATATTTACTAACATATATTCGCCTGTGTTACTACATTTACACAATTATCTATTACTTGTAACTAGGTTTTTCCACAACCCACATTTAAATAGACATTTCATCGATTATAGATCCAACGAAAGTATATAAATCATAACGATGGTGATAACTCTGTGTAATATGATCATGCATGCTCTTTGTTTTTTGTTAATGTAATCAAGATGTTACATTTTGATTGACAAAATCGATTGCTGCTTATCGTTTATGTCACAAGAGATCCATAAATTGGTGGTGCTATGTAAACCAAAATGAAATATCTAAAAATGGAATAGAATCAAAAGAAAACTTCTGAGAATATAGTAACGGTATTATCAAAGCGTTAGTTAATTAGCGAGGACATATTCCGCTCTAATTATAATTAAATAATTTACTCATTCTTGTCGAACATGTACATTTAAAATAACAATGAAATAAAATAAGATTACATCTTATTTCTATCATTAATTTATTTATATCTTTTCTAATGGTTTCTTTAGCAAGTGAATTACTTATTACGGTATACTATTGTAGCAGTGTATCAATTGATAAGCTTAAATTGGTAATGAAACACTACATTGTTATCATGCTAAAATGTTTATTTTTAAAATTGTATTTATTCTATATACATTACATTCAATTACTATAAATTTCTCCAATTAAAACGTTTATTTATATACAGTTAGTACCCAAAAAATACACCATTTTGTTCTGGAAAATACGGTTAATCATTTTAAAAGATACATTTTTTATATTTCGTTCGTTTTACACATTCATTGGATATAAAGTTTCTGAGATTGGTATTGTATATTTACATATGAACTTAATGTGCAAATTGGTCTACAAAGCAGTACACTGTTATGCTAAAAGTTACATTTTTATAAACTATTTGTTTACGCATTTAATTAATATAAATTTCTGAAATTTGGTATCTGTATTTACGTAACAACCCATAAATATCAATTCGTGCTATAAAACACTGTTTCCTTATCTATGCTAAAGGTACACCAAACCGTCAGCCAGAGAGTACTCCACTTGTTTTTCAAAATGTTATCACAGACGTATGGAAAACATGTTTCAATAATAGTAAAGCCGAAGCGAGAAATAAGTTTTATCTGAAACCCAAAGGCATCTATTTCTGCAAAAAATACTGCAAGGAGTATCCGCGAGTTTGTTCCCTTTGTCAATGTTTTTAATAAAGGTTCCATCTTCATTAAACAGTAGTAGTTTTCTGTAACAACCAATAATGATTTTACCGCGTTCATCAATGGCGATGGCATAGGGATAACGCAACTTTCTATTGTTTTCAATAAAAACTTCAGCCTTACCTTCCTTATCAAACTTTACCACCTTTTCGTCTCCATATGAAAGGACTAACATATCCCCCTTTTTTGTCATAGCGATTCCATGTGGTTTTGATAGTCTTATATCCTTATAATTTTTACCTTCAAATTTTTCTAGCAATTCACCTTTCATGGAAAAACACAATACACAATGTTTTCCATAATCGGGAACATAGATCTTATCGTCATGCGATACTATCTTGCCAAGGACAGACTCAATCTTATCGCATTGAACTTCCAGCCAGTTCTCTTTTCTGTAAATCCAAAGTTTTTTCATATATTCATCATAACATACAATCGACAAATCTCCCTCAACATTCACACAGCATAAACTTGTGAACTGGCAGGACATGTGGCCGTATATCGTACCAATGAGTTCTCCTTTTAGCGTGAACTTTGCAATTTCATTAATCCCCCCACAAGCATAAACTGTATCATCTACAATATCAAACATATATAAATGGGTATCCTTTTTCCCTCTGAATATATTAGGACGTTCTTGCAAGCCTTGCTTGACTGATTTTACTTTCAAAGGTGTCTGGCTGATTTGTGCATCATTTACATATCCACACAGCTCCCATTCACCCTCTTTATCACAGCATCCAGACAGGTCGTAAGTGCCATCATGATTGTCCTTTACGCTAATGTTTTCCTCATATCCTGGAAATGATAGTGATGTGAGCTTACCTGCTATCTTCAAATCTTTGTCATATTCAGCTTTACAGTGGCAATTTTCTGTTGTTAACGTGACAACAAACTTGTCTTGAATTAATACGTGCTCGGTGACGTTACTTGCATCAAGTATTGAATGATCCACAGAAAGGCGTTGTTTTGAAGTAGGCACCTTATTAGCGCCAGCATAACATACTGTGCACTTGAGAGTTTGGTCATCGTTATACATCTTTTGAAGACATTTTGGACAGAATGAGTGCATGCATTTCAGCTGTAGTCCACAATCGCTGCTTTTGCACTCTAAGCACTCTGTAGATTGCGCTTTTGCCATTGTACTTTTAACTGTCACAGACCGATCCAAATGCTGCACTTTCTAAAAAAAAAAACAAAAAAAAAACATAGAAAATTACATAAACTGGTATACCTGCCAATCATAAAAGTAAGGCTTGTACCAGATCTTTGACTGTTATCGAAGTCTTTTTACCGTCTCTGTTTATTACCATTATTCTACCGGTTCAGCCACATTTTTTTCAAAGAATGCACTATTACTATTATTATTACTATTATTATTACTACTATTATTACTATTATTATTACTATTATTATTGTTATTAATATTATTATTACTATAATTATTGTTATTATTATTATTATTATTATTATTATTATTATTATTATTATTATTCAGGTCTATCTAATACTGTATTAGGCATAGGGCCTAGACCGTGCTTAGACTGTTATCACCTCATCCGAAATTTAGCACCCCTTTCCTCAACTTTTTCAAACACATAATTCTTATATTACATACTGTAACTATATTACATCACTAATTATCACACACCTGGCAAAACAAATCTTTAGGCCTATAGTGTCAAATCACAGCTGAAAAAAAAGCCACTCGCTCCTTTTTTTTCTATACACAGACACTTTATTTCCTCGAATTCTTTTCAGTTTCGATTAAAGTGCGTTTCCTTACTAGAGGTAACTGTTTGCATAAAAAAGTTCTTAAAGCGCATGTTTGACCTAGATCAACATCTAAACATGTGATCATGCATCATTGAAAGTGTCGATAAAGCCTTATTTTTATTCTCACACTGATGTATTATAATCCTATAAATAACAGTAGGTAGGCCTATTGTAACCACGTTCCAATGGATTAAACATTAAGCAAATACGCAACCTCATAGGGCATTTTGTATATTCACTCTTCCAGGTACCCACTTGCACCCTTGGATGGAGAGCGAAAATGAAAATAAAGTGCCCTTTTGTCAACCAGTCAAGAGATATCTAACACATAATTATTATATAATATTATATATGGGGTAGCAACAATCTAACATTAATGCTAGTTTATTACAATAATTATGATTAACAAATACATAGCCTATACATGCTAAGCAAATTATTGCTTATTTATATAGCTACAATAGATACCCCTTTTAGGGTTAAAGGAATATTCCGTTTCTGATTAGGAAAATGAGACAAAGTGACACAGATTTTTGTTTAATCAATGGGGATCAATAAAAAATCTATACAGTATAATTCACATATAATTGTAGCAACTGACCAAGAAGAATTTTCATCAACAAAGAATCATCCATCAACAACAACTGAGCACGGCTTCATTATCCTATGAAGGAGTGCCCTCAGCCTAAATACATTAACACTAACCAGATCTATCATCGCGGATATTTAAATTGTGAAATTTTATATCAGCAATTAACGACTTCTAACAAAATGTTTTTACAGACTTAGCATCAACTACAATAACATCCGTATTTTAACATCAACATCTTAAAAACCCTTTGTACACTGGTCATTTTCACGTTATATCTTTGTAACACTGGGCCTATTTGTACCTTTATTATTGTATCCTTAACTTCGTTTTTCTTCTGGTTTAATCTTTTTAACAATGATTTCTTAATATAATTCTATTTATAAGCTTTTGCGTATTTTATGGAGATTTTTAAACTTTTGTTTGGTTTCAAATGAATTTCTGTTCTTTTTATTGAACATTATAAAAACTATCTTGAATCTTAGTCCTTTAAAGCTCCCTTTGAATTTTTTTCATCATCATACCATTTGCGCCAATCTCTTCGTACATTTTCATCAATGTAATGTTGTCGTCTGCCGTCTTCATAATCATTGTCTTTCGTCCACTGAATGTTTAGTATCAAATACTTATTTCGTAAATGTGTATATTCGTATTGATTAAGAATAGAAAACAGATATTTTAGGAAATAAAAAAGGAAATAGCAGATGCAATATAAGCGGATTGGATTCTTAATAAATTGGTACAGCGAAATTCGACAATTATTTGATAGCAGTACTAGAATAAGAATCAATAAAAATAATAAAAATCATCAACAATAATAAGGCAAATATTTCAAATTAATAATAATAATAATAATAATAATAATAATAATAATAATAATAATAATAATAACAGTAATAATAATAATAATAAATCGAAGATGTATATACTGTATTATCAGAAGATTCAAGACCCGAACAATTTATTGAATATTGAACTTCTATATGTCATGAATTTCATAAAAAATACTTTATAATTTCTTAAATAATAGAACAATCAAAATTATAAAGTCAATACACAGGTCTTCCTATAATGAAAGACCCCTCCAATTAAGGACCACTTTTCTGTAGTCCAAAATTAACAAATGTCTTTTATTTTTATTATTTTAATGAGAGACCAAAGCTACTAAAGACCATGAAAACCCTGGTCCTAAAAATGTTCTTTAATTGGAGGGAGATGTTAAGGTAGGATTTTTTATTTATCTATAACGACCCTTTAATTTCACTAAAGTTTAGGGTTTTGTTAAAGCAGGTCCACCAATTCAGATTCATGCAAAATCATGGGAACAATAATCATGGTCTATTATTATTCTCATTAATAGGCTAGGTTTATCTAATACTTGAGTGGGTATAGGGCTTAATCCAGACATGCTTAGATTGTTATCACTTCATCAGAAATTTGGCACGTCTTCCATCAAAACTTCTTCAAACACAGAACTCTAAATATTATGGACCGTAAAGATTGTATCACTAATGATCACATACCTGTCAAAAACAACTTTTATGAGGCCTAGATTATCAATTTACAGCTGCAAAATGGCCGCTTACTCCTTCTTTCTGTACAAAAACCATTAATTAGTTCTTCGTATTCCTTTTCAGTTCAGTGTAAAAGGCGTTTTCTCTCTCACGGTCACTGGGTAGACCTAGCCAATCAACATCTTAAAATGTGATGACGCAGCATTGAAAGCATCGATAAAGCCTTATGTTATTCACACACTAATATTATTATTATTATTATTATTATAAACCTAAAATAACAATAATGGTAGGTCTATTGTAACCCTGTTCGTATTCCTTTTCAGTTCAGTGTAAAAGGCGTTTTCTCTCTCACGGTCACTGGGTAGACCTAGCCAATCAACATCTTAAAATGTGATGACGCAGCATTGAAAGCATCGATAAAGCCTTATTTTATTCACACACTAATATTATTATTATTATTATTATAAACCTAAAATAACAATAATGGTAGGTCTATTGTAACCCTGTTCAAATGGTTTAAACATGAAGCTCATAATATGCAGCTATCTGGGAAATATTGAGTAACGTTGCAGCAGGTAATTAGGGAATTTTTGTATATTAACTCTACCAGGTACCCACAGTTGGTTGGAGAGCGACAATGGGAATAAATTGCCGTTGCCAGAGGACAATGTGAAATGTACAGCAAGGAGTCGAATCCCCGACCTCATTGAGAGCCCTAACTGCAACCATTGTATCAACCATTTAGGACCAGGTAGTGCGAATTATTGCATGGTATACATGCAAGGGCGTCTGATCCGTTGTGAAAAGTGGGGGGACAAATTGCAAAATAAAGAAGCCTTGGCTGGGGCCAGGGGGCCTCCCAGAGCCACATGGGGTCCAGGGGTGAAGTCCTAGGAAGCTCTGGCGTCTATATAATTATTTTAAGGAATGCAATTAAAATTTATTTTCACACTACATTTACAAAATACAGTGATGGATCCAGAAATTCGAAATTTGAGCAACTACCATGTATTGGTAGGCATTTTTTTTAAATGGGCCCCCACTCGACAGTGATTTAGTGTTGGGGTGTCCTGTCTGATGTTCTTTTGTAATTGCTCTTTGCTGTTTCTGTTTTTGTAAATTTAAATGTTTTAAGACAATAGATGAAATGAAGAGGAAAAATGACAAAAACAAACCAAGAATACAATTCGGTGATACACATTTTTTTCTGTTTAGATATCTATCTTGTGTTTCTAGTACCTTTGGTGTAAAAACAAAATCATAGAATTCATCGCGGTCCTCGAAATGGCAATACATACAAGTTGAATATGCCTTTTGCACAATAATTGAAAAAATATCAACAAACCGTGCACGAATTTAAAATTAGTTCACGCTTTGGGATAGAAAAATAACATTTTGATGACATCACTATTGACCTTTAATACTAATTAGGCCTACTAACATATACTTACCTGTTAATATTTTACACAATATTTATTGACATTGACATTTCATCGATTATAAACATAAAGATCGTCTTAACAAGATGGCGATAATTTATTTAATATTAGCATGCATACTCATTGTTTTTAGCAATGTAATATTTTGATCGAAAAAAATCGATCGATCGTTGCTTATCGTTACGTCACCAGTGCTCCATAAATTTGTGGCGCTATGTAGGCTTAAACCAAACGGGGGTGGGGGCATTGGATGCGCGCCTGCTACCTTCATTTTTTCGCAATGTGTTCTATAAGCAGGAGCATAGATCTTATCGTCATGCGATATCATCTTGGCAGGGACAGATTCGATCTTATTTCTTAATGCATTGACAATCTCTTTTCTGTAAATCATACAATTCTGTTTTAATAATAGTAAAGCCGAAGCGAAGGATCCGTTTTATCTGACACCCAACTGCATCCATTTTTGCAATATATACTGCAAGGATAATCAGAGGCGTTTTTTTCTCTGTCGATGCTCTTTATTAAAAATGTCCATCTTGATCAAACAACGTAGTCTTCTCAACCAATTATGATTTGATTGCGTTCATCAACGGCGATAGCGTAAGTGTAATTTAACAATTTACCACTGAGCAGCTAGCTCAGTCGGCTAATCTGGTGGTAGCCGCTGTGTGTGCGTTGAACCGTGGAGATATGTAGGTCCCTGGTTCAATTTCCATCGCTGCCTCTCCTTGTGTTTCAGCTAGAGGGCTGAAATACAAGTTACAATAGCACACCGTCTTTCGGATGAGACGTTTAAGTCGTTGGCCCCGTGTGCATTATGGCCCATGTGCACGTTAAAGAACGCAGTGCACTTTTCGGAAAAGAGTAGGGGATTGTCTCCCCTGCCCAATCACCACCAGAAGGACCCCACTGGAAATAAGCCTTCTTCTAGACTTTTGTGGGCTATCCTTGGTATTTACACCGAATAAATCCAATCCAATCCAATCCAATGACTGGTGCTGATTTTAATTATAGCTCAAGCTTTTCTATATCCTTGTCATTAAAATTACCAATCTGGTTATATCATTATGAAAAAAAAACTATGGCATTGATAATTTCACATTCTTATTATTTCCACCTTCAATTTCATTTAGCAGTTCGCCTCCAAAAGAAAAGCACAATACACAACTTTTTTCCATAATCAGGAACATATATCTTATCATTATACGACATTATTTTGATAGACAGACCCAATATCATCGCCTTGGTATTCATGCCAGTTCTTTTTCTTGTAAGCCGTAAATTTTTTAATATACTTTTCATAGCATACAGTCGACAAATTGATCTCAACATGTACCAACATACACTTGTTAATTAATTTACGGCCATGATTTATGGCCGTAAATTGTACCTGTAGGTTTTCTTTCTAGCGTAATGTCGCGGATTAAAGGCTGTCTCTTATACACATCTAGATGTGTATAAGAGACAGTATATATATTGCTTTCAATTCGTGTCAACCAAAATACATATTTCTATTCGGTCCTGACAGTAACTTTTTCTGTTGATTTAAAAATTAAGTTAAAGGCTATTAGTTAATATTTATAATGGTGTTGTTCTACTATAATCTTGAACTTATTGTATCATGTTCGTTATAATGATGCCGGATGTTGGACCCATTAAGCTATGCTGCTTTTTGACTTTTTGACCTCTTGGTCCAGTTTTTAGTTCATTTATGTGAATTTGATCTTTTACAAATTCAAATGAGACCAAACACGCCTTTTCCTATATTTCAAAGCAGACATGAAACCACTAGATTCAACAATGTACATGGCTGTTTAAAATAGTTTGTTGATTTATCGAATAATCTTTGGAGCATGACTGTTCGGCTGTCGGTGGTGTGACGCGGTCAAATACCTGAATTATTTATGGGACCTATTCCAAAAAGCTTTCTGAACGTTAGAAGAAATAACATACTGTTGTCCCTCCAATTAAAGACCCGCTTCAATTTAAGACCACTTTTCAGTGGTCTCAAATCAATTATAATGTCGGTTATTTTGATTAAAATCTAATTACAGACCAAAGCACCTAAAGACTATGCAAACCACGATCCCAGAAGTGATCTTCAATTGGAGGGAGACCTGTATTAACATTTTGAAGATAAGTAGGCCTAGTACGAAGTTTGTTAGCTACCAGCTACTATACTAATAATAGACCTAATACTGTTCGTGGGTAGGCCGCCCTATGTCTATGTGGTAGATCCAGAAATTAGTAATAGAGAAAAGAGGGCCTGCCCACCCAGTTAGTGACGTAAAAATATAATTACAATTGGAAATTGTAAACCAACACCATAATGGCCACCATGCATCATACTCGTTGTGTCGATTTAATTATTGTAGATTGATTTTCTCTACACGTAAAAAGTTCAAATATTATAAGCAAGACCATTTTCTCGCTCTAATTATAAATAAATAATTCATTCATTCTTGTCAAACATGTACATCTACAATAACAATATTAACAAAAGAAAGAGCAACACATTACTTTAAATATATATTATCACTTTATTTGCATCTTTTCTAATGCTTTCATTAGCAAGTGATTAATATTGATTACAGTCTGTAGCAAGTGATAAGTGCAAACATTTGTTATACCACATTGTTATGAGAGAAATTTTATATTTTATCAAACCAGATGAATATTTTCAGCCTCATTGTTATCATGCTAAAATTTCTATTATTTAATTTCATTTATATTATATTTCATACAATACATTCAATTACTGTAAATTACTGCAATTAAAAAGTTTATTTATATAACAACATGATAACAAATTATTTCGTTCTGTAAAACATTGTTATTCATGCTAAAAAATATATTTTTATATTTTATTTTTTATTAATTATACACATTCGTATGATATAAACTTCTACGACTGGTATTTTATATTGTATTGTACAAAAAACTTAATGTGCCAATTTGGTTACAAAGCAGGAAATTGTTTTTTTTAAAGTCACATTTTTATAATAGTCCTATATTCGTTTACGCATCCAAATAATATAAATTTCCGAATTTCTTACGTCACAAGAGATCTTTAAATTGGTGGTGCTATGTCAACCACAATGGAGGAAAAACTAAAACGGGATAGAATTAAGATAAATTATTAACTCTGAGACATCTTGTATATTAAATGTTAATAAAAGTTTCTAATGCTTTCGTTAGCGAGTGATTAATATTTATTACTGCCTCTAATTAATAAAAGTAAAAATTACACCACATTGTTATCACGCTAATTTTTAATTTTTATTTTATTTATTCTATATTTTATACAGTACATTCAATTACCGTAAATTTATGCAATTATTCTGTTTATTTATATAAGAACATAAAACACACCATTTCGTTCTGGAAAACATTGGTTATTATGTTAAAAGATACATATGTTATATATTTTCTTTTTTTCGTTTTACACAATATTTGGATATACAATTCTGCGATTGGGATTGTATATTTACATAAAAACTTCATATGTCAATTTAATCTACAAAGCAGTTCATTGTTATGCCAAATGTTACATTTTTATAATATATTTGTTTACGCATTCAAATGATATAAATTTCTGAGATTGGTACCGTAAATTTACATTATAATTATCAATTTGTTCTAGATAAACAATGTTTCCTTATCCATGC